CCCAGATTCTTCCCGAGGGTTCTGGAAGGTGGACGTGGCCAAGGGCAGAGCCGGCCACGCCACAGAGAATATAAGCCGAGTCCCGAGAGGGACCAGGGTTGTTCATCCCCAGGAAAGAAACCCTTCGTCTACGATCTCCGTTCAACGAGTCTTCCAGCACGTGGACCCGGGCAGGTATTGTTGGTCCCGGGTCCATAGTAACAGTTCTGTAGTAACTAGTGTAGTTAGCCGGGTGGTCACCACCTTAGGTTGTTATTCTGTTAAGGGGAAGTTACCCTGTGTGTTGGAACTAAATAAAACGCGTTGCCTCCAAAATCTACGTCTGCGACTCAGTTGAACCCATTACATGTATTCCAGGTATTTTTTACGTATTATATTGTATTTCTAATGATGATTAAACAAACCAAATAATACGGTTAAAGTTTTAACTTTAATATTATGCATAGTATACGAAGACAAGGAGCTGCCATGATAAATTGGTTATCGCACTGGACTTGCAAACCAGAGGTCGTTGGCTTGATTCCATCATCTGGCGCGGCAGTTGAAGCGATAGTGCCAGAATATGTGTGTTGAACTTCTTTCGCACAGTATGCATCCAACCGTACTAATCAGAGGTGCGGTCTCTCAAATTCCTCCATCTCCGTCCTCCTAGCAGCAGTAAAAAAATGTGAACATCAGAGTCCTTCAATCAGCAGGTGATATTTTGTGGAACAAATGGTAGAACAAATTCCCTAGATAGAGTTCACACTTTTGAAGGAAACTTCCACCAGCAGTGACATGAGGAAGCAATTAGTGTTACACCTTTACCTTCTATACCCAATGCAGTTGGGCACTTTTAAATCTAAACGCATTTATTTGTTACGGCTTTTTTGTGTTTAGTTTGTTGTCCTTCCCCTCACCACCTCCGACGAGCACGGTGTGCTATGTATGGTGTGACGAAGTTAAACGTGCATTCATAAGTATGAAGGCAGCGTGGTTTTGTAGACAGTGAAGAAAATTATAACTGTGGTGAGACCTCTGGCTATTTTGCTGTTTGCAGATCTGACGTGGAAAATTCTTAGCACTGCAAGTATCTGTCAAAGTCACAAGTGGAATAAAATTTGATATATTCAGTTGAAGATTTTTGTCACCACAGACGGCAATTCTTTGACTGCACACAAAAAATAAGCTGTTAGTACGAGCACTACAAATCTATGATTGGATGTTGCCCCTTCATAATAGCGTCAACCAATAACCCGACCACCACGTGGAAGGAAATCCAGAGTGATAAAACTCGACATTGAGATGGGCCTCATGGCTCAGTGGGCAAATGCCCATACCAGAGCACAGGGCTGCCCCTATTGCACATTGCATGCCACTTGAATAAATGCACTCCTGCTCTTACGAGGACAGTTATCATCAGACCAGAGTCTCGCTGGTGTATTCTGCTCTTAGCCAAGTCACGCATTGAATTAACTGTTTAGCTGAGGGTGATGTAATTGTTCACGACGTAACAAAAAAGTTAGGAATTTTCACGATGACGATTTATTGTGATATTGGTGTTCTACAATTGCGTGGTATTTAATATGTATGCGCTGTTGTGTTTATGATTTCCTTGTACTTCGAGTTCAAATAAAGGTGACTTAGAAGTGCTTTAATCTGCAGTTCACTCAACATAAATGGCCCTTGCGTATAGTTTTATCTCCTACCATCCCACCCTGCCAGCGTCCAATCCCTCTCTATCACTATCATCTGTGGCCTAGTCTCTGACCTCAGGAGGTCATATCTTCACTGCGTATAAATCGAGGTGAGGTCACAAGGGAATTATTTGGAATTCAATATTTTAAAACGTTATAATGTATAGCTTAATATTTGTATAGTAATGTATAGTAATGTATAGTTCAATATTTTAAAACGTTATAATGTATAGTTTAATTCGTGTTTAGATTATGTTTAGATCATGTTAATCAAATCGTGTATTTTTTGTAAAGTGTGAGCATTCACACCTCTTCAATATGTTGAAAAACGGGAATAGGTTTGACCCCTTCTGGCAAAGAAACAGGTGTTAAGATATTCTTGGTTCTTTCGGTAAAGTCACGTAGAAGGGAAACAATAAAATAATACATATATAAAACAATGTTATTTAAAAAATAGGTGTTAAGATGTGAAAAAAAACACCAAAATAGGAACAAAAAGTCCCATAGATATAACTATTCCAAGATGTCCTGGCCTGTCTGGAATAGTCGGGAAAAATACCCTCTGGAAGAGCTTTCGAGTGCTCTTCGGTCAGCAGTGGCATGGAAAAGCTATCACAGGGTTCAAGCTATTCCTTGCTTATTAGCACTGTTGCTTTTAAATACAACAGCACTTTGATACGTCTAGTGCACGACTAATTTGGTACTCTCCTGGTACAGCTGGTATGCAGAAGGTTTTAGGTGCAATCCCAACCCTGACACCTGTTGCATATTTGAAGTTTGCATGTTCTCCCCTGTGGTCGCATGGATTTTTCTCCGGGTCCTTCGTTTTCCCCCCTCCACATTTAGAAACATGCGTTTAGAGTATTTGGCTGCGATAAATTTCCACGTGATAAGCCCCTTCGTTGAGATATAATTTGTGGCCAGGTCGCTTATGAAAAAAGATCTACAGTGAGGGAAAAAAGTATTTGATCCCCTGCTGATTTTGTATGTTTGCCCACTGACAAAGAAAGTATCAGTCTATAATTTTAATGGTAAGTTCATTTGAAGTGAGAGACAGAATAACAACAACAAAATCCAGAAAAAACGCATGTCAAAAACGTTATGAATTGATTTGCATTTTAATGAGGGAAATAAGTATGACCTCCTCACAATCAGAAATATTTCTGGCTCACAGGTGTCTTTTATACAGGTAACGAGCTGAGATTAGGAGCACTCTTAAAGGGAGTGCTCCTAATCTCAGCTTGTTACCTGTATAAAAGGCACCTGTCCACATAAGCAATCAATCAATATTCCAAACTCTCCACCATGGCCAAGACCAAGAGCTCTCCAAGGATGTCAGGGACAAGATTGTAGACCTACACAAGGCTGGAATGGGCTACAAGACCATTGCCAAGCAGCTTGGTGAGAAGGTGACAACAAATTTTGATTTAAAGCTTTCGTGACTGCAGTAATTCATATTCTTAGTTTTTTCGGTAAAGTCACGTTGAAGAGAAACAACAAAATAACAAAATATATATAAAACAATAAAAAATTCTCACGACGTTTCGACCATAACTCAAACGGTCATCATGGTCGAAACGTCGTGAGAATTTTTTATTGTTTTATATATATTTTGTTATTTTGTTGTTTCTCTTCAACGTGACTTTACCGAAAAAACTAAGAAGAAGGTGACAACAGTTGATGCGATTATTCGCAAATGGAAAAAACACAAAAGAACTGTCAATCTCCCTCGGCCTGGGGCTCCATGCAAGATCTCACCTCGTGGAGTTGCAATGTTCATGAGAACGGTGAGGAATCAGCCCAGAACTACGCGGGAGGATCTTGTCAATTATCTCAAGGCAGCTGGGACCATAGTCACCAAGAAAACAATTGGTAACACACTACGCCGTGAAGGACTGAAATCCTGAAGCGCCCGCAAGGTCCCCCTGCTCAAGAAAGCACATATACATGCCCGTCTGAAGTTTGCCAATGAACATCTGAATGATTCAGAGGACAACTGGGTGAAAGTGTTGTGGTCAGATGAGACTAAAATGGAGCTCTTTGGCATCAACTCAACTCGCCGTGTTTGGAGGAGGAGGAGGAATGCTGCCTATGACCCCAAGAACCATCCCCACCGTCAAACATGGAGGTGGAAACATTATGCTTTGGGGGTGTTTTTCTGCTAAGAGGACAGGACAACTTCACCGCATCAAAGGGACGATGGACGGGGGCCATGTACCGTCAAATCTTGGGTGAGAACCTGCTTCCCTCAGCCAGGGCATTGAAAATGGGTCGTGGATGGGTATTCCAGCATGACAATGACCCAAAACACACGGCCAAGGCAACAAAGGAGCGGCTCAAGAAGAAGCACATTAAGGTCCTGGAGTGGCCTAGCCAGTCTCCAGACCTTAATCCCATAGAAAATCTGTGGAGGGAGCTGACAGTTCGAGTTGCCAAACGTCAGCCTCGAAACCTTAATAACTTGGAGAAGATCTGCAAAGAGAAGTGGGACAAAATCCCTCCTGAGATGTGTGCAATCTGGTGGCCAACTACAAGAAACGTCTGACCTCTGTGATTGCCAACAAGGGTTTTGCCACCAAGTACTAAGTCATGTTTTGCAGAGGGGTCAAATACTTATTTCCCTCATTAAAATGCAAATCAATAACATTTTTGACATGAGTTTTTCTGGATGTTTATTGTTGTTCTGTCTTTCACTGTTCAAATAAACCTACCATTAAAATTATAGACTGATCATTTCTTTGTCAGTGGGCAAACGTACAAAATCTGCAGGGGATCAAATACTTTTTTCCCCTCACTGTACATAGCTCAGTGGGCCTCATTACCAGTCTGATTATACATATCAGCACAGGAATGGTGCAAGAATGGCCTGGGTACAGCACACAATGGATCTGCCATGGAAATGTGGCATTCATTCTCTGGAAAATTACCACAGAGGGTCAATGACATGCACAATATTCCATTTAAAAACACTCAGTAGTCATTTGCTATTTTAATTAGGCTATTCTCATCTATTACAGAAGTCATTGAGCAGATGCATCTGTCAAACGTCATTCATTTGTTAATGAAATGAGAGATGCAGGAGGAATTATATTTATGGGAAACAAATGTATAAGTGTACTGTTTGTAATACCATTGCAGATATCACTGGGAGACTGAGCTTAGTGCTGCACATTGAATTTAAAACAAGGCAACCAATACTGCTGCTTACTATTCTGTAAAATGTCATTCACCGCAGAATTTGTAAGAAAACCCGCGGTTGTCTGTTTTGCATGTTAAATGCTGCTGTTATTTCTAATCTGTCTTATCATTTCCTGCACTTTACAGCTCAGCGACGAAGGCCACACTGGCTCGGTGAGTCTTTGTTGATGCACTTTTCACCGCCACGTAAATGCGCCTCTGGTGTGGAAGCCATTTTATATGGCACGCTTTATGTGAGCTGTGTGCAAGGTGCTGTTAAGTGCATACAGGGAATTGATGCTTTAGAATGGGCAAAGTGTAGTCTATTGTACGTGTCATTTGCCACAGCCTTTTTTTAAATAGTTAGAGGCAGTGTGTCATACAACACACAATGACATGCAATATATTGCCACAGACCTGATCGCTGTAATGAATTACATTCAATTTTTTTGGCCATTCATTTTAGTTGTATCCTGCAATCACATCACCCCACAGTGTGTGTGTAGCAATGCTTTGGTCACACGGCTACTCGTTATAAAAGCACAGTAAGTTAAATTCTTGGCTACATAAAGTGCTAGATGTTGGTTTGTATAACCCACCTGGAAAGTCACTAAGTTAACTCAGCCTGAAATCACGAGTAGTTGTGCCATTTCTATTTCCCATGGGGAAGCAGAGAAAGCCAAACGTGTTTTCAATTTGGCCCCCATCACCTCTCTGCCCAATTTCTGGTGTGATAGGTGCTCGCTAAAACGTACAATGAGATCTAATTTTGGTTGAACGTATCATTATTCACAATTCTCTCATACTTTTGACTTTTGTTTAACATGTTCTGCTCATCGCAATTCATTTAAATGGTGAAAAAAAGATAGCAGGAATTTGGAAGCATTTGGGTCCCGAAATTGAAACAATAATTTGAATGGCTGAATTTACTTGGAAGCTCATATTCCTATAGGCCCTCAGATTGAACGAGCAAATTACATCTTTAAACCTGCCCCCACCACTATCCCTGTCCACACCATTTCTATTCTACATATGCAGCACGTATCCATGTGTCAACCTGTGCGCAAGTCACCCTGCTTTTTGTTGAGCGACTGCAGGACACGTGAAATGGTCTAACACAGTTAGAGACTAGGCTTGAAAGAAAACTGTCTCTGGTGTGGAGCAGTCAGTTTCAAATACAATGCATATATTATCAGAGTATGTTTTTGTTTGCATTCTGACCACAAGTATTGTGGTTAATGCAGACATGATTCCTTGTAAAAGGCTTCAGTGTGGTGTTTTAACATCTGAACACCTGTTTTGTTGCCAGAAAAAAGGGTAAAACCTATTATCACTGACAGAGACATACCCAACAACATCTGGTCCCATGGGTGTATCCAGAACCCTTTTAAGTGAATACATTGTTACCTAAAGCCTCGCCGGAATATAAAACACGTGCATCTATCAAGACCCTCGCATGCCTCACACTGATGTCGTTGCAGTCGCCGAGTTGCGTTTTGTTCCATAAAAAAAAAATGTGCTCATTGTTTTTTTCGGTAAAGTGACGTATGTAGAAATACAATAAAATTATATTAAAATAAATCACGACGTTTCGACCGCAACAAGCGATCTTCATCAGGTGTAAAAAACAAATAGCGAGGGAGCACATAGGGTGACATCAACGCAACACAGAGAGTGTTAAACTTCACGGAGGTAAATACAACAAGAAGATGAGAGACGAGAATTCAACAAACCTAAGAAAAAAATACGTGATGCAAAACCAGTCGGCCAACAACACAGTTAGACACTTGCCTGGCGGACCACGAATTTCAGAAGACTGCTAAATTTCGTGTTCATCCTCTGGGTTGAACACACCAGCATAGACAGAATGAACAAATACGAGGTACAAGGTAGCAGAAATACATATACAGGGACACCAAGAGGCAAGAGGAGGAAAGACGGACAGAAGCAGGAAAAAGGGCCGGAGGGATGAACAGACAGAGGCTTGCGCCCCTTGCTTTCTTCGGCCCCTCTCCCCACCTCTGCTGCTTATTTAAGCCTCTGTCTGTTCATCCCTCCGGCCCTTTTTCTTAATTTTCTGTCCGTCTTTCCTCTTCTTGTCCCTGTATATGTATTTCTGCTACCTTGTACCTCGTATTTGTTCACTGTCTATGCTGCTGTGTTCAACCCAGAGGATGAACACGAAATTTAGCAGTCTTCTGAAATTCGTTGTCCGCCAGGCAAGTGTCTAACTGTGTTGTTGGCCTACTGGTTTTGCATCACGTAATTTTTTCTTAGGTTTGTTGAATTCTCGTCTCTCATCTTCTTGTTGTATTTGCCTCCGTGCAGTTTAACACTCTTTGTGTTTTGCTTTGATGTCACCTTATGTGCTCCATCGCTATTTGTTTTTTACACCTGATGAAGATCGCTTGTGTTGCGGTCGAAACGTCGTGATTTATTTTAATATAATTTTATTGTATTTCTACAATGAGTAATTTATGCAGTCACGAAAGCTTTAATTCTTAAAAAAAAGTGGTTGAAGACCAGGTGTGGATTTACATGAAGGGTAGCAGATTCGTAATTGGCACGTAATTATGGTTACACCACCATCAGACTCTTTACAATCACGAACAGGTTACTATTCGATATTTCATTTGGCAAAAAGCCGTTCCTATGCACATTGGACGCTGTTCAGTGATTTTTGCTTTGAACATTCAAACTGCCATGGCCACATGCTCTTTATCGTACTGCATTTGCTCCACTGCTCTATAGCAATGAAGCAATCTTGGGGCCACATCTTCAGGCTAAATTTCTTTCATCAGCTTAACCTCAAACATGGCAATGCAAATGTGGACATGCTAAGGGCACACAGGGTTTCCCTGCACATTGCTTCGCTTCAATACTGATAGGAAAACACAAATCTATAATGTGCCTTGACCCCAGGTGCGTGCACTGTGGCCTTGAAATTGTCTTTGTGGCTTGCGCACATTCAAATTGGATTTTCTGTGGCTTGTGCCTCATCAATTTAAATAAGCAAGCCGAAAACATAAGGAAGCCATGGAATGTCTCAGAGGTGCGACTTGTTTTGGCCAAATTATCCTTATGGCGGTATCCTGGAGTACAAAATAATACAAAATGGCCGAGACAATTAAATATTTTATTTCTGGGATGCTTTTTTTTTTCCACGGGTGTACTTAACTCCACAACTGGGGTGCCAATCAATCCGAAATCAGTGCTACTCAGCGATGTTGAAACGCAGCGAGGACGATTGTGCTGAAACCCTGAATGCTCGCATATACCATAGTGCATCGTGTACAGCTCGTCGAGATGAGTCGATTGCCGCATCGCCGACCATCAATAGAATAAAAATGACTGCATCACGGACATTATGCGAGAGCCGGGGTACGATGGTACCCCAGGGTACCGCCATAAGGTTCAAATGTAGCTTCCACTCAGCACAAGGGGCACCTGTGGTCACTTTTATTATTGTAGGGTCATGTTCAGACCATCGTATCTTGACAATTATTTGGGTTATAAATAATGGCAGAGATAGGCACTCGGGTTAATGTCTAAATCTATCCTTGGAACGTGGAATTATCTGCAGAACATTTACATGGGCTACATGTTGCTTCACGAAGACTACAAATGGGTAATCATGTAAAATTACCCAATATAACTTTTGCATGGTAAGTTAATCTGCCATATATTAGCAGTGTGGATTTTTCAATTAAGACTAGTACACATACGTCACAGTCTATACATAATATGCATTTTCAACCTTGACTTAAAGCTTTCGTGACTGCAATCATTATTTTTATTTGGGCCTTTCGGTAAAGCCACGTAGATAGAAAAATAAGATGTCATATTCTATTCAGATTTGGCCAGGGGAATTCAGTCGACTTTTATCAGGGCCAGTTCGACCCGATGATGGTGTCATGACTTGCGCTTTGAATTGGATTTAAGTGAGGCAGAGTTGCGCAACTTCAACGTCACTCTCTCGTCCAAATGCATCTGCATCCAGTGGCAAGACTATTTCTAGATGGCTGGAGATGATGCTGGATGCAGTGTATGGTCTGAGGAGACCTCCTGATAGTATTTCCTCCACCAAGGGTTCTACAAACCCAAATCACATACTGAGTTTGCTGGGTTAGTTAACCGCCACCCGGGGTGTGGCGTTGGCAGCTGCTGGCAGTACCGACTCACCAGGTGCAAGATGGAAAGCACCTGGTGTGTGCCTACGGTAGCAGCTAGGGTGTTCCCAGCAAAGATTAACTGAACACCCAGCTGGCCAGACCGCAACCAGTAGATGAATATTGTTAAACAACTTCTAACATTCCCTGCAAGAGGAAGGCTTGGTGAGCCATGGTGAAAGACCAATAAAACCATTTGGATTAGTAAATAAAGTGTACAAAGGACAATGTAATTACGAGTTATTCAATCACTGTATCGAAATAAAAAATGTATCTCAGCAGCCTCTTAACTAACTTTATAGCATGCAGTTGATCATTCAGAATCAGAATCTTTATTTGGTAAGTAAGAAAACGGTTGTTTGCTCATTTAATCACATGCATTTTGCATTTAACAATTGTTTTGCGTTGCAAAGTTATCAACATAAAAGCTTTGAATGTGCGTGAGGATAGCAAGAATTTGCGAAACCAAAAAAGTTATGAGATTTGCAACCAAAAAATATTACAATAAAGCCTTGAGTAGGTTTGTGCAATGAAATGCTGTGCTTTTCACTTTTCAGGAACGATTCTAAGGAAGAGGTCTCCGTTGTTAACACCACAAGCACCATCATCAACCGGATGCTGCAATTTTATGACCCGCGCATTCGGCCCAATTTTAAAGGTGGGTAGAGAGCATGTGACACGTGTACCGTGATACGACAGTTGAATTACTCTTGCATGTGAGGCTTCATTCTTAAATTGACATCAGAGGACTATGAGAAAGAGAAGGGGACCTGGAGATTACTGCGCTCAGTGCCTGCCCGCTGATATAAACTATGGAGGGAAAGGCATCACGGGGGAATATCTTAGAACATTTGGATAATCATTATGAGTGGATACAAATGATATGCTAAAAAGTGACGTTGTGTTAGCCTATGAATCTTTGGCAGCCCTTTGTTATTCCACGGCTGGATGAATGCCTCCCAACACTGCGCCTGTCATGGGGGTTGTTTGGCCAAGGTTGACCACGTTGCTCAACGTGGGTTGGTTACTCACTCGCCACTGATGTGAGCTGTGCCTGGTTCCCGGATTCCAGGTGCAGTGCCATGATCACTTGCATACTGCTCCATCCCTTCAAAGGCCCCAATACGAAACACAGCAGAATAAGCACTTGGGCGAGGCTTCAAAATAAGTTTACTTAGTAAAGTGCAGCGTTAATGTACATCCCTGCAATTTCTTGCTAATGCCATTGCTTATTAAGAGCCCTACAATAGAGAATTTGGGCTACTTTACCACATTGACCAGACATCTTGGGAGAGGTGGGAGTGCCCAAAATTTACCCCACCAAGGTGTGACCTCCCGATTGACTAATTGCGGTTTATCCATTTATGCAAGGTGGGTGAACAGAATTGGGATGGATTCTAAGAAACTTGCACCATTCGTTCAACTGCCACACCAGAAGGTTGAATAGAACCAGTGACCTCTGCATTGAAAGTATTATCATTACACCATGGCACCATCCCGCTGAGCCTACTTCATATTTGTATTGAATGGCACTTTGGTAGATCACCTTACTCGGGAGTTTGCAAATTTAAAGTAGCACATCATCTCTTTAGGGATTAATAAAGTGAGTATCACTTTGAAACCAACAATGGTTATACTATAGACAGATTGCGTATCACTATTAAAAGGTGGAATATCCACCCCCAGCTTAGGAATTCCTATGGAGGTGAGAACCAACCAACGATAGTTTTATCACGGAGACACTCTTGACTCTTCTGCTGCAAGTATGTTGGTGTCGTATGTAACAACCAATGGTTATAGTGTCTGTGTATATAGCACTCGCGTACTTGTCGTTTTACTTATTAGATTACATAAAGCTGATCGCCAGCTTGCATCTCATGAGATGTTTCAAACATAGCATAAATGGAGGCTCTTTCTACACCACTGGTTGTTCACAACATATTGTAGCCATTTGAAGGTACCTGCTGTTTCAATGAGCAGATTTGGTGTTGTAAAGTTTGTCAACCCTTGAACTAAACGCATTTTCATGAAAGTGCATTTTAATAAGGCTGCATTCATACTATTGAATGGATACACAGCGTGAGTGAATGCGATTATGGTAAACAGCACATATCTTACTTTCATTAAGTGTTAATACGTGTGTTATATAAAGAATGTATTAAAACGTTAAAAAAATATTAAGGTTTGTGGAGAAGGTGGAATAACTGGTGAATAACATCAATGAGAGAACATCCGTTGGATCAACAATAACAAAACCTATCTCCTAAATATTTAAAAATAAATCTTGAAAGCAGAATGATGCATCAGTAGTTATATTTAAAAATGTTAACAAAATTGATTTGACGAATTACAGACCCATTAGCTCTTTATCATAATGCATATACAATATTCACAAAGATCCTAAACACCCGATTATTGGTGAATATAGAGGGTAGCCAACCAAAATGGTAGCTCGTTTTCGAATACCATTCACGCCATACATATTCTCAATCAGAATTGAGAAAACACAAACGATCATGGAATACCATTATGCCAGGCTTTTGTAGACAATGAAAAAAACATTGTACCCAGTGGAAATTGATGTAGTAATCCACGCTGTCACAAATAAATAGCAGGTTAAATAAAATATGTATTGATATTAGAACAGTGATAATCAGAAGGGAACTCAAGCAAGGATGACAAAAATAATAAATCAATGTTTTAGACGGTTTCAAGCTCTGACGTGTGTTCGGGAAGCACCCAGTGTTCGCCATTATGTCCGACGTTTTTCTTCATGTGGTGGGAACTTCTGCAGGAGCTGAATTGAGCAGCTCACATAATTGAGCAGCATTGTCAGCAGCAGCAGCAGCCAATGACAATCCTGTGCAATCGAGAGATGAGATAAACGTGGGATGGCGAGCCCAGCGAGCAGCGTGGCGGGTACAACGGAAAAAAAAAACCCATCAGAGAGCTTTACAGCAGCACGACTGCAAAAATAAACTCTACGCCGTTTCATATTAACTGGGCCTGTATTCTGAGAGCACCGCTCAAGTAGCAGATCCATCTTTGCAAGGAAAAGGCAACTTGGACCAGCAACATTTTAATTTTAAATCCACCAAATACCAAGATTGTGGTGCGTAATCTGAAGTAAATCTGTGATATCTGTCCTGTGAGTCCCCCCCTCACCATGTCAACATACCTGAACTGCGTGGCCACTTTGGGCTGAGCTGTGTGCACCACGACAGAGGTTTTTCCTCCTAAAGTATTATTTTTATCTTGATAATGCCTTTTCGGACGGTGAAAGCAAGGACACAGCTTGTTAGTAATCCATGAAGAAGAGGATTTGCCCACACGACCTCAGGCCAAAATATTTTTCAACTTGAAAAATTGCCAACATTACTTTTTCCCAGCTTTAACAAGGACAATAAGATGGATGAATGTTGTTCACGGTATCAGAGCAATTATTTATCAGTAGTAGATAGGGCAGAGGTTATGTAGATAGTGTCCCTGATGTTATATGTAGGTGTTTGGTGTGTAGCTTGTCAAAACAATGGTATGGAATTTTCAAAGAGTGTGCAATACTAAACACATCTAGACATTACTTGCGAAATGCACTGTGGGTGATTAAAAAAAAGCTTTGCTTAATTGGTTGGGGAAACCTGTGACCTACATTAAATGGAATCTTTAAAATGTAAGGCTAATGAAAGCAAACGAATAAAAAGCATTCACAGAGAAACAGTAGATGTATAAAGCACAGTGGTGCTTTTACAAGCAGTGCCACTGCATAGCATATGGTAAATATATATGGGTAAACGAGTGGAATGCATGATCCCCAATGAGACAATTTTCTCGTAATCAAATGTGCAGTTCTATTAGCATGCCAGTAAAATTTGAGTAGCCATTAAAGGCGGTGTGATGTAATTTGCAATAAAGAATATGCTATTGTGTGATCGGCCAAAACCTAAATAACCCCCCCAAAAATGTATCGTTTGTGAAATTATGGGTATGATCATAAACATCTCTTTTTGCAATTGTATCTGAAACATGTTTTTTCTTAGTAGCAGCCCACATTTTTATTAAACATATCATTATCATGAGCTATCCACGAATGGATGAAGCCTCCCCATGTCTCGTGATTTTCATTACCAATATTAACCATAACAAAGGTTTTTGTGTTAGTTCGCCTAAGTAAAAATGGGTCGTTCAACCCGCCACCACTCCACACAACTCAGCATTGCATGCTCTTTCCCGTTGATGCCAATGCATCATGGGTAGAAGTTATGAACAAAAACAACGCAGTGTCTTCAAATGAATGAGCCGGAGCCGTTTGGGGACTATTATACGCAATTTTGAAATGCAATATGTGGCACTAAGTCACGTTGCAGTGATGTCGTTGTCCAGTTATAGCAATATCACCGTGTCGTTAACATGTTATTGCTTACGCTCACCAGTGATTTATTAACACTACTTCTTTACAATGGTAATAAAAAATATATATTATCCGGCAACATTTAGCAGCCATTGAGTAGGACCTTGACTTGTGCTCAAGCCGTATTTTGGACCCTGGCCCATGACCTTTTGTTGTGCAGCATCAATAGAGGGCATGAATGTGATGTGGTCCATTGTTTTGGCTTTTTCTCTTCGTGGATTTTGTGGCCAACATATTTTTTTGTTATGCCAAGAGTGGAGATCCTGAGTGATTTGATCGAAGTTAGAAGTTTGAATAACAATTGTTGTAGGAAACCTTGCAACTATTAACCCGCTAATTAAGATTCCATCGCGAGTATATTGTTTTACATCATTTGTTTGCTCAATCAATAATCGGTGGACAAGAAACCCTTCATATTCTTGGTTCTTTCGGTAAAGTCATGTCGAAGGGAAACAATAAAATAATAAAAATCTAAAATAATAAAATTCTCACGACGTTTCGACTGCAACACAAACAATCATCATCAGGTGTGAAAACCACAGCAAGATTTTTTAAAATATTTTTATTATTTTATTGTTTTCCTTCTATGCGACTTTACCGAAAGAACCAATAATATGAATCCCTGCAGTCACGAAAGCTTTAAATAAAAAAAGAAACACTTCGTTAAAATATGGCATGTGGTTGCTAGGTGAATTTTATAGCTAATGTGATTCCCATGTCAGAGCAGAGTCAATGTTATGCCCATACTATAGATTACCATGACTACTTCTTTCGATGTCTGTTTCCTCTTGGGCACTGGGTACGTTGTTCTGCTGGTGACATCTAAATATAATATATATATTTTAAAAATTTAAACGTGAAGAATTACTATCATTATTAAACGCAGGCGAACACTTGTGACAGATTTGATTTCCCCATCCACATCATATCTGTTCAGGTCGTCGTTAATTAAAATGTACGAGCGTACGTGTGGAGGCCCTTGGGGGAAATTGTTGCGGAATGTTGCACGTGCTTAATTTGTATTCATAATAACGACTGACCAAAACAGTTGTTTTTGTCGTTGTAATAGATGCAGCATAAATAATGGATAGGCTACACTTTTTTATTATAAATATTACAGCTATTAGGGTCGCTGCACGTACATATGTTGAACGTCTTTCGCACCATACGTAGCCAACCATGCTAATCGAGGGTGTAGAATATTGGAGGTGCGGGAAATCAACACACCATAGTTGCGACATGGCGCTGAT